CGACCATGCATGTTTCCAGGCTCCGTCTCGTCGTGTAATCTTGTTAAATGGTCAGGGAGCATTTCCCCCTGCTTCTCCCTCCCCTTTAATTCCCGATTGAAACATCAAATAAGCTTCCCGAAGCTGCCAGGCAGCTCCAAGGGCTCCACGCCGCCTGGTTTCAGTGGAAATAAAAAAAGCCATCGCGAGCAACACAGGAGGAAACGCCACGACATCCCAACTTTTGCAGTCTTTCTGGGATGAATTTGCCCCAAGTTGCCTTGTTCAGCTGAAGAGCAAAAGCACCGACTCTTGAACCTTTGCATTAAACTCTCAGCTGGAAGTAGCTCCTGGGTGCATGAAAATAAGGGTGAAATGGGGTGACCTGCCTGGAAATGCAACGGGGAAACCAGGCGACTAAGGAGACCCCTCATATGGGGTGAGCATTGCAGCGGCCAAAATGTCGGGGTTTAAAAATCCCAGCTTTAAAAGAAGAAAGTTTCTTGCAACAAGAGACACAGGGCTGTGGACCGGGACCATGCACTGAGTGCTGTTGGAGGGAGAGCAAGAGCAGCACCGTGCCTAAATCCTGCGTAGGGCTGCGCAGGGAACTCCATCAGCCCTGGCCTGGGTTTGCCATGGGGCTCGTCAGCTCTAAAATAGCTGCTGGTGCTCACCCCACCGGCTCCCTGCTCCTTCCTCGCCTCCCATCCCAGGCTCAGAAATGGAAAGACTGGGATGGAATCCTTCCCCGGCTCTGCTCCCAGCCACGCACGTGGCTGGGCCTGCCAGAAACCAGTTTGCTTCGTTTTGGTGAGATAAACTGTTAGGAAAAAGGGAAAAAAATGACAAAAATTGCACCATCTCCCCTTTTGCAAATGGTTTGTGGCGCAAAATCCCTCGGCCCTGTGGCACAAAATCCCTCGGCCCTGTGGCACGGTTGAGCTGGGTTTTCACTGGGGGTGTACCGGGGGCCCCGGCACCTGACACACTCTGCAACAGTGTGATTTTATTTAAAAAAGTTGATTAAATCATTAAATCAGGTAAGCCCTGATGGCATGGGATGAATAAGGGGATTTCGCAGGGAGGTGCAGGACTGGCAGTCGGATAAAGTGCTCCCCAGCTCCGCTAAAACCTCCTCCTGGCACTTGGGCTGTGATGCTGCGGTGCCTCAGTTTCCCCAGCTGCGGGAGCTGGGAAATGCAGCCTTGGACACACGCGCTATCAGCTCCACGCGTGCTTATCCGGGCCGGGTCTGATCCCGCTCCCGCTCAGCATCCCT